CTGCCACACCCAGCTTTCACTACCATACATTAAAGTAGGGACTAACACAGCATTATGAATTACCATACGTGCCTGTTTTGACAAATTCTGGTTCTTCATAATAGAGTGTAGTGCCCCATTCACTCTATTCCCTGCATTTACTCGTCGTTCTATATCCCTATCATATCTACCATCCCTGCTAAATACACATCCCAAATACACAAACTCATCCACTTGCTCAATCAACTCTCCTTCTATTCTTATTTCACATACCGTTTTGCTTTCTTCTCTTTCAAAAACCATCACTTTCGTCTTACTTGCGTTCACTTTCATTCCCCTTTCTTTTAATTCCCAGTTCATTAATGTAACCATCATTTGCAACTCTGCCGCCGATGACGCAAGTATGACTTGATCATCGGCATACAAAAGGCATTTGACGGTTAACTCGCCCATTCTTAACCCACATTCTTCATCTTTCAAAGTTTGCAAACACCGGTCCATAAATAGGTTGAACAGCCAAGGGGAAGCCACACAGCCCTGTCTGACACCTTTTTTGGATGCCAAACCAGTCCGAGTAGACCCCATTGATCCTGACACAAGCACTAGAGTCCCTATAAAGAGACCTTAATGCCTGTATCAAACCAGCGCTCAACCCATATGAGTTCAGTGTTTGCCATAACACATTCCTGTCCACTCTGTCATAAGCCTTTTCCAAGTCCATGAACGCACAAAAAACTTTCTGGTTTTTGGCCAAAAACTTCTCCGCAATCATGCGCATGGAAAAGACTTGATCTGTACACCCCATTCCCTTTCTAAAACCCGCTTGCACATCCCAAATTTTTCCATCAGTTTCTTTCATAACTCTTTCAATTAACACCTTAGCATACAGTTTACCCACAATACTAAGCAAGCTGATACCGCGGTAGTTTTTGCAGTCCTGCTGTGACCCTTTTCCTTTATATATTGGTACTATAACTGCTTTACACCAGTCATCCGGTACCCGTTTTAATTCCCAACATAAATTAAACAAGGTGTACAGCAGGCCTGCCACCACTCCCTCTCCAGCCCTTAGCATCTCGAGTGATACTCTATCATATCCAGCTGCCTTACCTGCTTTCATGCTTTTCATTGCTTTCATTATTTCATCTACACTTATCTCCATACCCCTTTCCACTTCTTTCGGAATTTCTAGTTCATTTAATTCATACGACTCTTCACTCATAAACACGCTTTCAAAGTATTCCTTCCATCTGTTTAAATTCGAAACTTCATCATTCAGAATACATCCATTCTCGTCTCTTATAGCATTTATTATAGGCTGTTTTGTATTTCCCCTGGCAGTTCTTACGAGTTTCCAGAACATTTTTATGTTAGCCTGGAAATTATCAGATATCCTTCTATCATTCTTATCCGTTCTTTCTTTCTTTTTCCTTTCAACAACTTCTTTTACTCTCTTATTTAGACGTCTAAATTCTGCCTTTTTTCTTTCAATCTCATCATTCATACCAGAAGAATTATCAGCTTTGGTTGCTAGTAAATCTAACCATGCTTTCTTCTTTGATTCAACTTCCACCCGTACCTCATCATCCCACCATAACGTATTACTTTTCCTTTCATTTGTTCTCTTACTTACACCGCATACTTCGGTGGCGGTATCCACCAAACCTTTCTTAATATTATCCCACACAGTATTCAAGTCTAAATCATTCATACACAACTCATTCAAACATCTAATATTTTCTCTCAGTCTACATTTATACTTCTCTATCACATCTTCATCTTGTAACTTCTCTATTCTTATACGCTGTAACGCAGTGGTAGATACAGATGTCCGATGCCGCCAACGCTTGAAAAGACCATTAATTCGACATAAGACCAAGTAATGATCCGTCCCTACGTTGGACCCCCGGTAAACCCTTGTATCTACGACTGCGCTCCTCATTCTTTCATCCACAATTACGAAATCTATCATGCTTCTATCATCACCTCTTTCCCATGTATACATGTGAATCTTCTTATGACGAAAAAAAGTATTCGTCACAAAAAGATTCTTTTCCGCACATACGGTGAGGAGGTCTTCACCATTCTCATTTATACTTTCATCACCAAACGTTCCCAATATCCTTTCATAACCAGACCTCTTCACCCCAACCCTTCCATTAAAGTCTCCTAACATAATAATATTTTCATTTTCCTTACATTTTGTCAACACCATCCTTACCATGTCCCAAAACTGCTCTCGGATGTAAGTGGGCTTAGACATGTCTGGGGCGTACACCCCTAGCAGGAACAGTTTCTTTAAGCCCACTTTCATTCGTATCCATAGCAGTCTTGGGCTTACACATTCATACTCTTTCACACATTGACCCATTCTTTCTGAAAGGATGAAACCGACTCCCTGGCATGCCCGTTCGGTCTCGCCTACACCAGACCAATACGCGGTATACGTGCCATGTGCAGTGGCATCCTTTCCCTTTCGTTTCGTCTCATTCACACATAACACATCTATTCCTCTGTCATTCATCATTTCGCATACTTCATCCATCTTATCATTCATTCCTCCACATACATTCAGCGTAGCCAGACGGGTTTCCGCAATCCACTTTTCGCCCCTCCGGGAGACAGAACGTGACGGGTGGCGAACCTCGTCGCCGGTTTTTCTCCCGGAGATTCTTCGCACCCCTGCCCCATTTAAAGGGCGCCGGGAACTCGAGGCCATTTCTTTTATTTCTTGAGTCATGGTGCGAACAAGGGTTGGTGGTAGATTTTACGCCGCTACCATACGGCGAGGAGCCGAGTCTATTTTATCGGCTTTGTCGCTCGTTTAGCACCACCCGGGGGACACGTGTAGGGTGGGCCTAAGGTTAGGTGGGCGAAGCCTACGGCCGCGAGCGCATCCAGTGGTTAAGTAAAAAATGACTTTCAATAAAAATTACATGTAATCAAAAACATATCGTGGTACATAAATAGGTTTTACTTACCCAGATACTGAGAATCGATTTTGTTTGGATGTTGTTTTCAATATTTAATGATAACACTGTGTATCTCTGTCCTAATTTGTGTGACATCCCGTCCGTCAAGTCAAGCACTGCGACAACTCAAGTCAAAATCAGTCAAAATTCTTGTAAAGCTTCTCCTTTGTAGTGTTTTACAAATGTAAGAAGTTTTGAATGAGAGCCAATCGATTGTACCTAATAATGGGTGCCATACGTAAATTAAGAATACTAATTTAATTGCCGAAATCACAAATGGCTACGGAGACGCTTTTAAATACGAACAAGCATTCAAAGTATATATCATATAGGAAAATTTTGTATCATAGGTTTTTTGTTGGCCTACTATTGTTTATTGTGGTGTCTCTGGTGTTTACTGTGCTTTTTAATATTTATGCGGGAAATTCACCACGGACCGAGATATACAAAGCAATGAACTTGGATTTAGTGAGCTTAGAAGTGATAAAAATAAAAATTAATTCCCCCTATTCCGAGCCCCGCAATACGAATTGCACGTATTGGAGTTGTTTTAACGTATACAAATGTGGTAGAGGTGGCCACGATAAAATAACTATATACATATATCCTCTAAAAGAGTACAGAACTGATGACGATAGAATTATTTCACAGTTATCTAGAGAGTTTTATGAAATTCTAGATACAATAAGACATAGTAAATATTATACCGCGAATCCTGAGGAGGCTTGTTTGTTGGTGCCCAGTATTGACACTTTGAACCAGAATACTTTTTCAAGTGAACATGTTTCTCAGGCATTGTACTCCCTTGAACAGTGAGTAACATCTCAATTTTTTTTTTTATAACAGAAAGTCTGTTCTTCTGCTTATTGGCAAAGTTTCTTGAGAGACTTTACTTAGGAAATAATCCAGGACTTGTAGACAGGCATGTAGAGGCCTCTATAAATTGGGGGCCTGTTTCATTAAATCAATAGATATGGCTATGCCCATATTATTATTAATTATTTTTCCTTTTATAACTATATATTGATGGCTTTTTATTCCTTATAACTTTTTTTACTATTTTGTCCAGGTTTTGGCACTATCCCATCTGATGGTAGGTAGTGATGCAAATGTAGAATGTTGACTTTGAATGGGTGCGTTTGGCAGAAAAAAGCGCTTGTAAGCAAAATGGCGATCGTAAGCGGTAAGCGCTGTCAAATCGTAAGTAGCTATTTTCCTCTAGGGCACGAAGTTAGTTTTAACCGGGGAACCTAACCTAATTTAAATATATGCTTGTAAAGTATTCATATTAAAAACTTACCAATCATGAATTTTTAATAACATGTAGATATATGTCTATTCATGTCATTATATTACTTTAAACTAATATTGCACGAAACAACTTATAAACTCTACTTCAAAACAAACAAATTAAATAAGCAAAATGGTGGATTGTGTCAGCGCTACTGAAGTTGGCAAATGTCTCCTGGCCGAAAACTGTTTAGTTTCGCCATTTTGCTTACAAGCGCTTGCTAGTGCTTTTTTCTGCCAAACGCACCCAATATTGAACTGTTACATATTATACACAATGATGTAATTTTTTAATGGCTTTATTATATACAACATATTAGTCCACCAGATCAAATTTTGGTCACTGTGGCCAGTCTCAATGGAGATTAACTATCTGCACAGGACAAGATTATGGTGCTTGCATGTGCACAAGTATAGTTGTACTTTTTATTCACTCACTCACATAGTCCGATGGTGTGGCAATCTTACACAACTGAAGCGAGATTAAGGTGTAGGTTCTACACTTACATGCTTTCTGAGGCATGCAAGGAGTAACACTGCCAACTTTGTGACAAAAACCTAATAACTGATTTTGGCCTGACTAGGGATTTGAATCTAGGACCACATGATTAGCAGTCATGATTGCAATCACCAATGAGTTAGTCTAATTTTGAATTCTGTATTTAAATTCAAAAATGTTTGTGTAATATATTTTGATTATCAACTCCTTCTAACTTTTATTTAAGCTGGAACAATGGAGAAAATCACCTCATATTTAATATGTTGCCTGGCACTGCACCAAATTATGAAACGGTCATCAAACTTAACACCAGTAAAGCTATTATAGCAGGATCTGGTTTCGACACATGGACTTTTAGATATGGATTTGACATTTCATTACCATTATACAGTCAAATTGCTACAGGAATTGATAATACGCAACCAAAACAGAAGAGCTACCTTATTATATCAACACAACAAAATATTCCAGATGATTATCTAGCAGAATTACAGAACATTGCATCTTCATCGAATGATTTATTATTACTTGGTAGATGTAAGACAGAATCCAATAGGATGGATAATACCAAACGCTGTGAATACACAACAGGGAGAGTGTTCAATTATCCAGATATATTAAAAGAGGGTTTGTTCTGTTTGGTTGTTCGTAGTGCAAGACTGACTCAGTCCATTTTAATGGACATTTTGGCATCACAATGTATTCCTATTATTGTAGCGGATACTATAGTCTTGCCTTTTAATTCTCATGTGGATTGGCATCGTATTTCATTATATATACCAGAAGAAAATATTAAAAATTTGTTAAGGATAGTTCATTCTGTTAGTAAAGAGAGGCGGGGAGAACTATTTTGGCAGCTGAGATGGGTTTATGAGAGGTATTTTGCCAGCATTAAGAAGATTACATTAACAACATTGGAGATTATTAATGAGAAGGTTTTTCCTTTAGCAGCTAGAATGTATGAGGAGTGGAATATGCCTGAACATTTGGTAAGATTTTTAAATTGACAGCTATAGTAGCTACACTATTTTAATAAATCTGTTTTTTTGTGTATGTACATTAAATTTTCATAAACATACTTAGTGGCGTTAGTACTATTATTTTTAAATTAAGTTGGAGAATATCTGCTGTAGATCTTACCTAGTCCATAATTATTAAGTTATAAATTTTTTTGCAGTATGGTCCTGTGAATCCATTATTTCTTCCTGTAACTGCACCGAAATCCCCAGGCTTCACAGCAGTCATATTGACTTATGACAGAGTGGAAAGCTTGTTTATATTAATTAGGAAGCTGGTGAAAACTCCCAGTCTTGCCAAGATCCTTGTTGTGTGGAATAACCAGAAGAAAGATCCGCCGCCATGTGAGTTGACCATTATGTCTTTAACATATTGTTGTATTTAAGGTTAATACTATTGTTTTACAGTTAGTTTAAGTTAGTTGGTTAGTTTCCTGAAGTCTTTTACTTTTCTCTAAATTAAATTTAATATTGAATTTTATAATATAATATTTGACCCTTTTAAGGGAACTTATCATAACCTCTAAGTAATCAAACTAACTCACACTGGACAGGCAGAAAAGACTGAAAGAATTAGCACTTAGACAGAATTCCATAGTTATCATCTTTTGGTACCTTTTCAGTATCTACACAAAAGAGGTCTTCGCCCAGCAAAAGGACTTTCATTGGCTGTTACATTACTGCAAATATTTGGCATTTTAATCCACCTATTTATCTATTACGGCCCTCCACAAGTCTATTGCTGAGCATAGGCCTCCCTGGAATGCCATATAACATGGTACTCCATCTCTTCAACTCCTATCTAGTAAACTATGCTTACTGTTACGATGCTGCCGCTTGAGAACCTTTCCATCGATTAATGGTTTTTCGAGCGGTGTGTTATGGGACTTGGGTTATCGTAGTTCTACTGGATATTTTTCAAATCTTTTTTAGAGCGTTTTTCATGTGCCAATACCGATAACATTGTATCGTCTGGGAGACCTCAACGCAAAGCTAGGCACCAGAAAAATCGGTGAGCTGAAGGTAGGGAAATTTGGAATAGGGCAACGAAACCCAAGCGGCCAGCAGCTGGCCGACTTCATGGAGAAAGAGGGACTTTCTATGATGAATCTATGTTCCAAGACCGGCCCCACAGAAAGTGGACCTGGTCGAGCCCCGACGGTTCGACAAAAATGAGATTGACTCCATTATGACGACCAGACGATAACTGTTCAGTGATGTCTCAGTGACCGCAAGGGTGAAAACAGGCGGCGATCACCGAATGGTTAGAGGCACACTGAACCTAAGTGTTAAGTTGGAAAAGTCTCGTCTAATGAAGTCAACGCTCCGTCCCCCTCGTGCTCTAGTCCAAAGACCCGAAAGCTTTCAGCTTGAGCTACAAAACCGTTTTCAGTGCCTTGAAGATTGCAATGCAGTGGGCGATAATATGAATGACAAGCTTTTGGAAACTGTCCATGCGGTCGGAGCTAAGTTCTGCAAGACCCGCCGAAGACACAAAAATTATCCGATCACACTCTTAATCTCATGGATGTTGGATGGGAGATGAAGCTGCAGTCGTCAGCAGATTTGACAGCATACAGGCAACTGAACAGACAGATCTCCAAATGCATGCAGCGGGACTTACGCAACTTCAATACAGCTCGTATTGAAAAAGCGATTGAGCGGAACTAGGGCTCCAAAGTCTTTGCCAGAGATCTGTCTGTCAGAAAGAGCCAACTGTCAAAGCTGAAGACTGAGTGTGGCTACATCGTTTCCGGGACGCCTGAGATTTTGAGTGAGACTGAGAGTTTCTATGGGCAGCTGTAAATATCATCGCTGGGGCCACACGCAAGTGTGAGTAACGATCCAAGAGTAAGTCTTATCCGACACTATTCCGATGATATCCCGGAAGTCAGTCTGAGCGAAATTAGAATGACTCTCCAGCACCTTAAAAACAGAAAGGTCCCAGGCGAGGATGGAATTACAGCGGAGCTTCTGAAAGCGGGTGGAGCACCGGTACTTAAAGTCCTTCAGAAGCTCTTCAATTGCGTCCTCCGTGGAGGCACTAATCCGGAAGCGTGGAGCAGAAGTGCGGTGGTCTTGTTCTTCAAGAAAGGCGACAACGCAGAATCTCTTGCAGAATTACAGACCGATTACCCTTCTGAGCCGCGTCTATATGCTGTCGAGAGTCATTACGAATCGTCTCACAAGCAGACTCGATTCCTTCCAGCTTCCCGAACAAGCCGGTTTCCGAAAAGGCTTCAGTACTATAGATCACATACCTACCCTACGGCAGATTATACAGAAGACCAAAGAGTACAATCTGCCACTTTGTCTGGCGTATGTGAACTATGAGAAAGCCTTTGATTCCGTCGAAATTTGGGCGGTGCTACAGTTTCTTCAGCGGTACCAAGTTGACTGTGGTATCGATATATATGTACTACGCACTAGATATGAAATTCCGAACACTCATATGTTCAACTGAACTGTACTGCAATCCGTACACCTGTTATTGTGGCTTCGATATTCATGCAGGGCGGAGCGGCGCTAATAATTATTTTATTTTAAATTAGCACATATGCAAAATAACCGAAAATTAAAAAAAATCTACTTGGTTAACAATACAATCTAAATAAACAATTATTTTTATGACAATTTTCGCACGTTTATATCAACTGCGCAGCGCGACTCTACTGTTTCCCGCGCATACGCGGATACAGAGTAGGGCACATTTTTTGTTTGGAGTAGCTTCTCTAGTACGTAGTACATATAACTCAATGACTGTCGGTATATCGAAGTGCTGAAGTCATGAAGTGTTTGTACAGTAGGGCTACGATGGCTATCCGAGTACAGAACCAGAGTACGAAACCTATCCAACCGCAGGGAGGTGTAAGACAGGGTGACGTTATATCCCCGAAACTCTTCACCGCTGTGTTGAAAGACGTTTTCAAGCTACTGGACTGGAAATGATACGGTATTAACATCAATGGCGAGTACATCACTCACCTTCGATTTGCCGACGATATAGTCCTTATAGCAGAATCGCTGGAGGACTTCAGCACTATGCTCAATGACCTCAATAGTGCCTCCCAACGGATAGGTCTTAAGATGAACATGGACAAAACAAAGATCATGTTTAATGTCCATGTCACATCTATGCCCGTAGTTGTTGGGAGCACTAAGCTCGAAGTTGTTGACCAGTACGTTTACCTGGGACAAATAGTCCGATTAGGTAAGTCCAACTACGACCGAGAGGTCAATCGACGGATTCAACTCGGCTGGGCAGCGTTCGGGAAATTACGTCACATCTCGTCATGTATAGGAGCTGAAGAAACGTAGATATTTTTAAGTACATCTGCAACATTCCTGCCATATATTTTTTTAAATATTACTCAAAGAAAAAAAATACTTTCTACAAATTTATTTCTTTTTTCAACTATCAATCGTCTACTACGACCCAGATTGTTTATTTACCTAAGATCTTGGTGTTTAAAATAATAAAGCAACTTATCTATTACACAAAAATTATAAGAAAAATAAAATAAGATGCACAAATTATTAAAAAAAAACTACTACAATAGACAAAAAATTGTCAAATTTAATAAAAATCTTAAATATCCAATAACTTGAAAACGGTTAAGTTTGGATGTTTCATAGTCGAAACAGTCGGAAATGATGCAAACTACAACCCCTTAAAGGATCTAGGTCGACTTAACCTGTAACCCAATGTCTGGAGTCTGGAGGTAATTTTATCTCAGTCAAATATGCCAATATTACTTTTTTACAGACTGCTAGATTGCTAGCTATTCTTAAATTAGTAAAATTCCTATTTTCTCAATTTATAAAACGTTTATATTATTTAATTGTAGAAAATAGTTGAAAGCCGATTAAAAGAACCCTACATCCCAGTTCCATTGTACTGTGATATCTAATGTGAAAACGTCTAACTATTTAGTCCGCCCTCGTTTTAGCATCTTTGGTATATTCTATTCATCACTACCATTGAATAATACAATACTGTGAATGCCTTGTGACTTGTATTTCAATGAATCAAGCCTCCATTGTGGAATGGGGTTGGTTATTTAAAAATTAGTAATGAAAAGTGGTCCGCCGTACTGAACTTTTATTAATGTTTTGCGTTTTTCCATTGTATAAAAATATAAGTTATGTAGATAATTTACATACCTACCTTTATACAATTTAGCTTATTTTTTTAGAAAGTGTCTTGATTCGATAATAGAACGATTTTTTCTTATTTATACGATTATTGTATGATTAACAACAGCCTTTTTATAACTATATTATAGAACTACTTTTTATTTGATAGAATACATATTATTTTCTTTGGTAATTGACTTATACGGTTGCCAGTGTCAAGTAATAAGAAATTATCCCCATAAGAATACATCTTATTCACAAATATGTTGATGCGACACAATGCGAAGAATTTTTAAGGTTTTGACTGTAGCTTGTGTCAGTAAACAGTCGAAGACGATAGTAATCTTAAGGGGAAACATTAAAAATACTACCTCAAATGGCTTAGCAATATCCTCCTTCATACTGAAAATATTGCAGCATTCATTTTGAAATAAACATATGGTAAAGTTGAGGATTAATGTTAAGTATTATGTTAAACGAAAATACGATGTCAGTAAAATTCTACGATAGTTCTTAAGGGGAAACATTAAAAATACTACCTCAAAGCTTAGCGTCCCCCGTATACTGAAAAATGCAGCATTCATTTGAAATAAACCTGGTGAAGTTGCGGTTAATGTTAAGTATTAAAATTCAGTAAAGTGAGAGATAGTAATTTAAGGGGAAACATTAGAAAAACTACAAAATGGCTTGCAAGATCCTCCTTCATACTGAAAATTTGCAGCATTCATTTTGAAATAAACATATGGTAAAGTTGAGGATTAATGTTAAGTATTATGTTAAATTCCGTATAATTTTCTCGATAGAAAAATTAAAGTTACCTAACTGAGAATAAATGGTATTCATAAAATAATTTAAATTAGTAATGAAACTTTGCATACTACCTAAACTATCGGCGTTTTGAAGCTTGTTTCCAGCCGCCCGATTAGTCTCGCTTCGGCTTTTGAACGGCAAAACTGTGTCACTTACGATCAGAATACACATTAGGCCGGTTTCAGAGCTCGACCGACCGTCGGTGCGTACGTCGGTCGCGCTTGCATTTTGTATGAAAATTCACAAGTCGTTACAGTGCTCGACCGACCGTACGCACGCGTATATAGCTACGCACTGCGTACGAGGACCGTCGGTCGAGCGCGTCCACATGCGTACCGTCGGTCGACCGACGCGCTATGGAAACATATTGACGCGTTCAGTCCGTACCTTGACCGTAC